CCCACACACACAGTTGACCCTCTGCTCTTCCTAGTGGGCGGTCCGCGCCCGGTTCCCTGCTCGCACCTTCCCCAGGCTCTCCGGCTGCCCCGCCTTGCTCTGCTGGGGACATGCGACCATCCCGCGTCTGCTCCGGCCGCCGCTGTGCGATGCACGGTTTGGCGGATCCTGCACCTTCCCAGACTGAGGGGAGGAGGGAGGCGCGGAGGAAGGGAGGGGGGTTCGTGCCACTGTCTCGCCCAGAAAACACCAGTAGCTCAGTAATCACCTACTGTCCGAGGTTGGCAGTGGCCGGGCATCTTGCTTGACCAAAAATAGCTTTTGGTCACATTATAAGGAGATCCTTAGAACTAAAAATGAAGACCATCTTACAGCAGTGCCCTAGATCCTGGATTGAGGCAAGAGTGCCGGAAAACTCGAATTACTTCCTGATTCGTTCTGGTTTTGATACGGGTTACTGAGGCCCAGTTAAACTCCAACCCAGTTCAGCTCAGTGAAATTCAACACTTCGTTTAGTAACTAGCACCGAAAATAATCTGACGAAGTCTAGAAATAGGAATATTCTGTGTTTTCACAAAGGTATCCATGAGCATTATGATTCCCAGGGCTCTCTCAGAATCAGTTGTCCACTAGGCCTGTGATTTCAGCCATCGCTTACAACCAATAGTTCTATCTACAACTGGGAGCCAGTATAGTGTAGTGGTTAAAAGCAAGGACACCAGAATTAGATAACCAGGACTGGTTATCTGCTTGCTCGTTACTTACCCAGTGAGTCAGTTATTTCGTTCCACAGGAACTCAGACGGGATAACAGGTGTTTAAATGTGATACTATACCTAACGCCGTGTACGCAGGGCCTGGCACGTGGCAGGTCTGCGGTAAGCCGGGAGCCACTACCACCTTTCCTTCTAGGACTCTTACCTGTGCTCGGCGCTCCCCTTTACACCTCTGCCAGTTCCCTCAAACTTAACACGTTGCATCCTCCCTAAATCTGCAGTAGTCCTTGGTTAATGACTTCCAGCTGCTCAAGCCTAGCATCTAGTCAACATTCAAATACTTGCTGCACGTTTTGAATGAAGATGTGCCCTTCACACCAGCAGTACCAAGGGACAAGCCTCCCACCCCCGTGCCTTTCCATAGGCTATTGCTTCTCCCTGCAGTGCATCCTCCCCTCCCCTGATGAATAATCATCCTTCAGATCATTCCAACATGCCCTCCTTGAGGGCCGCCCTGTAACTCCTCTGAGCAGGCCAGGCTTCTGGCTCTTCTCTGACATTGCAGGTATATTAGATTGTTTCTGAACCTGTGTCCACGCCAGATGGCACATTAAGGGCAGAAGACTCTGTGTCTCAATCATCTTTGTAGACCCAGCATCCAACAGCAAGTGAGTGGAAGTAAATGCTCTTGGAATAAATGAATGAGCTTATGCTTTTAGAAATGACTGTGATCAGAAATTTCATTCCCTTTGATTTGGGTCATTAAAGTTAATTGAAAACTTTATCTCCACTGTAACTTTTTCTTAAACTGATTTTAAGTCTTTCGGTATCCAGTTGCTAACTAGGAGACCATGGACATGCTACACTGAAACCCCAGATAGAATGAATTTTTAGAAGCCATAATTATCAGAGACAACATTGTTTTTAAGCTTGACACTTTCAATTGTTCAAAGTATATAGTTAGCATCAGTACATGAAGACACATGTGTGACATAGCAATCCAACATAAATCTATGATCTTCCTAGGATTTTACTTTAAGATGAAATACTTGCATAAGAGTTGAAAATAATGGATAATTAAAGAGGAGTGGTCCTATTGACAGCTGATTAAAACAAAGCAACTGACTTATCAATGCATCTTTATCGGGTACCATTGCAGTCAAATATTCAACCATCAGAAAAAAACGATGCTTTCAAATTCATCGCGGTCAGGTTTGGGCAATTTAAATGGGACAGATTCCAGAATGACAAACCACAATTCCTCTTCTAGTTATGTCTTCTTTTATAACATCCTCTCCTTCATGTACTTCCATCTTAACATGTTTTTACCACCACACGATATTCGTTTCTTACAGTATCCCTTCAGGTCCTCGAAGACGAGAACGATGACTTCCTTGCATTTGCTTCTCCAGCATCCAGCACAGTGCCTGTGGCGATCAGTAAATGCTGGCTGAATAAAGGGACGGGTGATTTTGACAAACGTGTATTGAGTAATGTTAGGGAGGGAATTTTTTTTCCTGTACCCTTGTAAGTTCTTTTGGCTGGTCTAATAATTAAATCGACACAAGACCGATTAACAGAAGAAAAACCAGTTTAATTACTTACATATGGGAGCCCCATAAAAATTCGAGACCAATGGGTGAGTGGGCAGTTGAGGCTTGCTTATATGCCAGCTTGAGCTAAGAAATGAGATAGAGGCCTGGGGCTTCAAAGGGCAGGAGGGTAATTCAAAGGACAGTTAAAAAGAGCAGGTGTTTGGTAATTAGATGTTCCCCCTGCCACACAGGGAACTCAGAAAAAAAGTTATCTCTGGTTAAGAGCTCTTTTTCTGGACCGTGCCCCCTGTCTAAATTCTTTTAGCTAATTAGGGAGATGTAACCTTTTCTTGAGTCTGCTGGGTCTTGACTGTCTCCAGTTCAAAATAATCCACATGTTGAAGTGGCATATTCTGGGGTGGCATATTCTGCTCCCTTTCAGTACCCAGAATATGCCAAGTCCTATTCGTGGCCCAGGGATATATAGCAATGAAAAACATCTGCAAAGTCTTCGTTTTCAGGGAACTTACAGAGGAATAAATGAATGAATAAGTGTGTGAAATTAACATTTCTGAATCCTTTATCTCTATTAGAATACTGTTTTGTATGTTCACGAATAAATTGATTGCTAGGAGCTAAATATTTTTTCCATAATAATTTTTATAAAATTATTATTAATAATGTTCCATAAAAATATTTTTCCAAACTATCAGTTGCCTGCACACTGTACTAAAAAACAGAAGAAATAAATTGTATTACAAGTATTATCATTAAGAGGAAAAAAATTTATTTAATAAACTATACAAAGTTTCAAATTTTATGAAAGTGTTCAACAAAGATTTTTTAATAAAAATAATAGGAAACCAATCATGTTTATGCCGACTTTTCTTTTTCCTTCATACCTATCATCTTCTCTCTAAATATCTCAATGGCGGGGACTGGTATATCTACACTTTCCACCATGCCAGAAATTTGATTCAGCTATATTCTGTCTAATATCTTTATTCTAATTTATTTGTTAAATTTGTAACGGCATTGGTTAAGTCTCAATTGCAATCTTACTTAGCCAAAATACAAGATGAGATAGTTTTTCATTTCTGTCCGTGTTTTATCATCCGTAAATTGGTTTCTTTTATTAAACGTGTGCCTCTGGGGTTCAGAATGAGTCACCCCAAGGTGTGCCTCTGTGGCAGGCAGATTATTTTGAGCTAAAGGCAACAGAGACCTTGCACGCTCAGGAGGAGCTTCTGCCCCCTCCCCCTTACTACCTAGAGGCCTTGCCCATGATAAGAGTTATCACCAGAAATAACTCTTTATGACCTACCTATACAACAGGGCAAACTACTAATTACTGAACATCTGCTCTTCCTATCCTCCTGCGAGAACTTTTATCCACTTTAGCTCACCCTTAGCTCAGAATGTCATATTTACTTCATTTTAACTTTCTGTCCTTGACCCTCTCGTGTAGGTGGGGTCTCAGACTCGTTCCTGTCTGTGGGGTTCCCATGCACATGTATGTATTAAATTTGGTTATTTTTGTTGTTGTTGTGGATCTGTCTTGCGTCGATTTAATTACTGGACCAGCAGAAAGGATCTGGTGGGGAGTTTCCTCCCCCACATTACTCACTAGTACTACATTAGTCCAGTGCGAAGCCCTTGCAGAAAGTGTCCTTCTGTTCCATGGGCCTTCTTCTAGCCGGGGTTCTTCCTGTTTTAAACGCCATGGTCATTTGATTATTATTATATCATTACCATCATGACTGACATAATGTTAACGTAATTTATTTCCACGTCACTCACGCCTAATCTTCTATTAGCATTGCCCAGTAGAGTTTTGGCAGGCGGGGCGGGGCGGGGGCGGATTTTGTTTCATTCATTCCATTAGGTTTTAGGGGTGGAAGAGTGTGATGCTGTGATATAATAAGAAATATCTGTTTTGGTGCGTGTCCAAGGTTCCTGCTCCTAAACCCTTGTAATTCCCTGGGTGAGAAGAGTGATCGGATCATATGTTATAATGTCTGACTCCTGTTTCAAGCTCCTGAAATAGCTGCAGAGTATTAAAGGTGAGGGAGGTGTCTTTTTTTGTTCATAACGCGTTCCTTTCAGCCACATCTGAGTCTATGTTCATAAAGTGACTTTGGAAAGCCCCGGGGATGAGAGCTCTGGTCACCGAGAGAACCAAGGCTGGAGCTTTTAGCCCCAACGTTCACCTTGCTGGGGGGAGGACAGGGTTGGCGATCACCAACGGCCAATGATTTAATTAATCACGCCTACATCACAAAACCGCCATTAAAAATTTTTTTAAAAATAAAAAATAATAATAAAAAAATGACCCAAAGGAGGAGCTTCCAGGTTTTGGGA